CACACACTCATACACACACATGCTCACACACACACACACACCATGCAAAAATAAAAAAGCATAAATAAGTAAGTGTAATTTTAAAATAAAACCATGTCTTAGTGTATGTGTTTAGTAAGAATGTTTGTGGAATAGAGGAAGATAAGGCAAAGTTGTTCTGATTTTAGCCATTTGCATGGCAGGAAAATAATAGTAAAAACTTAAATTCTTACTGGTATAAATAAGTAGACTTAAAGAAGTGTTGAGAATGAAAGGATATTATTTGGTAGAATAAATGGTACAGCCCTAGGAAATATCCTCCCTCTAAATTTTTGATCACAGTGAAACAAAACCTTAAGGTGTACCTTTTTTGTAAGCAGAAAGAATAATATTGGTTTCTCAAAAATTCTAAGCCTTCCTAACAGTGAAAGGGTTTCTTTTGTCCTTAGGTAAGTTTTTTTTAGCTGATTGACCAGTTTTGATTTGATTAGGACCACAATATAGTAGTAAAAGATCCCAGCTTTGTAAATCCATTCTGTTGGCTCTGGGTCTTTGCAAGTTAAATTCAGTTTGCCCAGGAAACTCTTTAATTCTAACATTGTCTTGACTCTGTGAAGTGTTTGGAGTATAGAGAGAGAGGTTCTCTTCTTAATTTAATAAGACCATATTGTAAGTGTAGTATATATTCCACAGTCTTACTTAAAAACAATACGATTGGTCAAACAAAGCTGAAAAAGATTCAAATCAAGAAGAATTGTCATAAAATCAAAAGCCCTGTCTTAGTTAGGGTTACTATTGCTATGATGAAACACTATGACCAAAAGCAACTTAGAGAGGAGAGAGTTATTTGACTTTGATTTCCACATCACTATTCATTATTGAAGGAAGTCAGGACAGGAACTCAAGCAGGGCAGGAACCTGGAGGCCATGGACGGTGCTGCTTACTGGCTTGTTCCTCGGCTTAGTCAGCTTTTTACAGAACCCAAGACCACCAGCCCAGGGATGGCCCCATGGATGGCGCCTCCCCCATTAATCTCTAATTCATAAAATGCTCTGCAGGCTTGCCTGCAGAGCAGTGTGTGTGTCATTTCTACATATCACACATGTATACATTTTGTTTTACTTTAAGTGGATGAATATTCTGCTTTGCATGTATGTCTGTTCATCATGTGTGTGCCTGGTCCTGTTGAGGTCAGAAGAGAGTATTAGATCCCCTAGAACAAGATTAACAAGCAGCTGTTAGCCATTGTGTAAGTGCTGAGAACTGAACCTGGGACCTCTGCAAGAGCAGCCAGTGCCCTTAACCTCTGAGCCTTCTACAGTTTATTTACAGTCTTATAGAAGCTTTTTTTTTTTTTTTTTTTTTGGTTCCCTTTTGTCAGGTGATTATAGCTTGTGTTAGTTTGGCATAAAACTAGCCATCATAAACTATATATTTAAAGTTGTGTACAAATCTACATATTGGTTTGCATATGTATTCTATGCTAGTTTATTTAAGGGCTCTCTGTATTGTGTTTCTATAAACCACAAGCTTGCCTTTGCCCTACCAAGCCCATGATGTCAGTGACATCTGTAAGTTGAAATGTTGGGAAACCGGAGGACTGGAATGCAGGCTCATTCTTGGTACATAATGAGTTTGAGGCCAGCTGGACTACATGAAACCCTATCTTGAAAAGAGAAAAGGGGAAAAAAATGAGTTACACTATCAAATAAATCAGTGCAAAACATTTTTGATGTCCAACCAAATTTTAAAGTGACTCTTTGAAGTTTTGAAAATAACTTTGCTCTATGGAAGAGTTTAAATGTGTAAAAAGTAATGAACTCTCACAGATCCTTAGTCAATGATTATTTCAGTTTTTTATGACAAAGTTTAAACCTAACTATTTTGGTTAGGTGTGAATATTCCTATGGCAAGCAAAAATTCAGATGTTGTTACTGGCTCACTAACACAAACTCAGGGCTGAACATCCCTATGGCTGAGGCCTAAAGTAAGTTTCCCCAACACAGACATGTAAGGAGTCTTTCTGTCCCACCAGCCAGCTCCCAAAAAATTACATGGAGACTTCTTATCAATTATGAAAGCTTGGCCTATAGCTTAGGCTTGCCCCAACTAGCTTTTATAACTTAAACTACCCCATTTATATTAATCTACGTCCCATCACTTGCCTTTACCTCTTTCCCATAAGCACCTCCTGTTTCCTCCCCATGCCTCCTGGGCACCGAGATTCTCCTCCTCACACACTCACACACACACACACACTCACACACTATACAAGTATCTCACACACACACACACTATACAAGTATCTCTCACATACACTCACACACTATACAAGTATCTCTCACATACACTCACACACTATACAAGTATCTCACACACACACTATACAAGTATCTCACACACACACTCACACACTATACAAGTATCTCACACACACACTCACACACTATACAAGTATCTCACACACACTCACACACACACACCCCTTCCCTGACAGACACTATACAGCCTTCACTGGGTTTAGGCTCTAAACAGCACTTCAGTATTACACTCAGAAACCATCTGAAACGAAAAACACCAAAGTTTAGAAAACGTAGCAGTAAATAGACTGAATAGCACACAGATTTATGTTTTGAAAATAGAAAGGTGCAGGAAAACTGTCGCTTCCTTCAGCCTTAGCTAGGTACATGACCTGGGTGACAGGATTTTCAGTGATCTTCATGTATCCATAAAGGCAATAAAGGGTTTACAATTTCTAGTGGGTAGACAAATGCACACACACATCCTCCACAAATAATGAGGATTGCCCATGTAAGTCTAATTACTTCCTGAATACTTACAATGATGAGGGCCCATGCCCTCACGACAAACTTGAAATAGGGCCTCACTCTGTTACCCTGGCTGGGCTGGAACTTCCAGAGAGAGACCATGCTGTTTCTACCTCCCAGGTGCTGTGTTAAAGGTGTGCACTACCATACTTGGCCATAGTTTTGATGATCACATTTAACTATGCTTACATAGATCCTACCTAGTTTAGCTTTCTAGATTGTTCCCCTTCAGAATTTAAATTCAGCTGCTTAACGTTCAGTTTGATTAAACTCTCAACCCTAACCCCAAACATACAAGTTGTAAAATGTTCAGAAACTTTCAGAGTTGGGAAGTAAGTTGAAGAGATTGAAGACACTGCAGTAGTTGATCTTAGACTACCTGAGACACCCTTCCCTCTCACTTTCCTGACTTTTCCTAGTAAGAACTACTAAGCCCTGTCTCCCACTGCCTTCCTTTAGTCTCTCAGATTTGTCTGGGTAGATGAGGCATGGGATGGGTTAAGCAATAGCATTAACTACTGCCGTGTGCTCTGCTCCCAATGTTACCTGTGTCTCTGCCTATTATTTGCTTTATATATCAGTATATATTTTCTCGGGGTTCTAGGAAATATGCATTCAGTTGGCCCACCCTTTGGTTTGTTTGAGACTGGCTTTCTCAGGGTAACAGTCCTGGCTGTCCTGGGACTCACTCTGTAGACCACTGGCCTCAAACTCACAGAGATCCGCTTGCCCCTGCCTCCTGAGTGCTGGGACTAAAGGTGTGTGCCACCAATTGCCCGGCAGCACACACACTTAACTACAGTAAAAACAAGAACATCTATCAACCAAAGTCCAATCTCAGTTTAAAGAGCTCAAGTACTGTTTAGGAGATCATGTATTTAGTCCTTGACCATTAATTCCATGAGAGACTAGCTGCTGACTAACACATGTACATCATCTATTGCCAGGAAAGGTTATTGAGATTAGAGAAGAGCACGTGCCCAGACAGATACACTAGAGAACTAAACATCAAATATCAGATCAAGGCGTGTGTGTGCGTGCGTGTGCGCGTGTGCGTGGGTGCGTGCGTGTGTATGTGTTGTGTGTGTGTGCACGTGCGCGCGCGCCTCCTCTCTCCCTCACACCCCTTGTGTGTCTCTGGGTGGGTGGGTGGGTGGTAGGTGACAGTATTATATATATATGAATGTGTGTATGTCCACAAGTGCATGAGCTTGTAGAGACCAGAGATGAATGGGAGGTGTCTTTATCACTGTTCATCTTGTTTTTCCAGACAGGGTCTCTCTGTGACCTAGAACATACTCTTTCTGCTAGATCGGATGGCCAGTGATACCCCTTTCCCCAGGGTCTACACAGGAGTTAAAGGTGTACACTGCCATCCATACTCAGCTTTTTAGTCGGCACTGAGGACCCACACTCAGACCCTCATGCTTGAGCAGCAAAAGCACTGCCCAGTGAGGGACCTCTCCAGCCCCCACCCCATACACCCTAAAACATTTTCTTTTGTTTAGAGTAACGAGGCGTCTCTTAATGGTCATTAATATAACTGAAGACTTACACAGTTCTCACATTTGGTCTAAACTGATTTTACAGCTAGACATGGTAGCATGCACTGTGCTTACAGCAGTTGGAGGCGGACTTAGGAAGATCTGGAGCTCCAGACTACCCTGGGCTATAACAGTCACTGTCTCAAAAACAACAGAAATTTTTATTTTACTTTGAGCGATGACCTCTAAGTGTTGTATATAGTGTAGAAAATACTATTGCATTTTCTGTTTTTATATATATATTGTATATAATTTATAAAATACTTACCAGTCCCCCCCCCACCCACCTTTTTTTTTTTTTTTCTTCTTCTTTTCTTTTTTTTTTTTTTTTTTTTTTTTTTTTTTTTTTTTTTTGAGGCAGGCTTTGACTGCCCTGGAACTCACTGTGTAGACCAGCAGGCTGTTCTGGAACTCAAAGGAATCCTGCTGTGTCTGGGATTAAAGTCATTTTTCTTTAAATTGGTAAAATAAGTTGCTTGATAAAATTTTCTTACACTAATAAGTAAATTATAGACATGATACTATATCTGACTCAGGGAATCCATGTGATATTTTAAATATGTTACAAGACGAATGACTGAGTTGTGAGGAAATTATTGCAAAGAAAACCTCCTTCCCTTTTACCTTGTATGCACATTTATGTCGTAGGTACCGGCAAGATGTGGAGTTACAGTCCGAGACAGCCTAAAGAAAGCGCTGATGATGAGAGGTCTTATCCCAGAGTGCTGCGCTGTTTACAGAATTCAAGATGGGTATGCTCTGTATGTGCTGTGTGTGTGTGTGTGTGTGTGTGTGTGTGTGTGTGTGTGTGTGTGTGTGTGTGTGTAACAGAAATAAGACATAAAGTTTGAGTTTCTTTTGTAGTCTTTATCCAAATCTAGGGCTGGCTCAGTGAGAGCACTGGCCGCTCTTCCAGAGGACCTGGGTTCAACTCCCAGCACCCACGGGGCAGCTCACAGCCGTCTGCTTCCAAGGGTTCTGAACCCTCTTGTGGTCTCCTCGGGCATGTGTAAGGTGCACAGACTTACATGCAGGCAAAACAGCTACATTCATTAGGAAAGAAGAAAGGAAATATTTTTACTAAAAGAGTTTGAACATCATCTTTAAAAATTGTGCTAATACTACTCAAAGAAATCTTGAATTGGTAATTGATGTGGTCATACTATTTCTTCCTGTGGCAAATGCCTTCATTAGATTTTGTAATTTGTGAACCATTAGATAGAACAGTGGTTCTCAACCTGTGGGTCACAACCCCTTTAGAGGGTTGAATTGGCCTTTCACAGGACTTACCTAAAACCAGAAAACGGGGATGTTTACATTATGATTCAGAACAGTGGCAACACTAACTTTGTGGTTGGAACTGTGTTAAATTGTAGCAGCGTTAGGGAGGCTGACAACCACTACTTTAGAATGTGATTAGTTTAGATGATGTGCTTTTATACAGTCTTCCTCTCTAAATACAAGCTCATAGTTCCACAAAAAGTCTACCAAAATTAACATTTTATATTGAAGCATTTTTCATAAAGTAATTTTGTTCCAAGATGTTTATGCTTTGAATCTACATTTTTGAGGCATATTGTTCCTTGAATGCTCTTTCTCTGAATTAGTTAGTAGCTAAGACAACACCTGTGTATTTTGGGCAGCTTTTTTATTTGTTTGGTTGATTATTTTGGTTTTGGTTTTTCGAAACTATCTCTGTGTAGCCTTAGCTATTCTTGGCCCTGCTGGCCACAAACTCAAAGAGATCCACCTGTCTCTGACTCCTGATTGCTGGGATTAAAGGCTCGTGTCACAATCACCTGACTTTGTGATTGATTGGTTGGTTGGTTGGTTGGTTGGTTGATTGATTGATTAATTGATTGATTGATTTTTAAGCCCCAGGAACAAACAATCTGGTTTTGGTTATTGTAGGTTTTTCTAGAACTTACTTAAAAGAGTGAATGAATCTATTTACACTGTACCAAAGAGCCAAACCTCCTTAATATTACCTCCTCTGTAACCATGTTCATATCTTCAGCGTAATGTTTATAACTATTTTGGGGTACAGTAATCAAGAAAGAGCTGGAGAGATGGCTCAGAGGTTAAGAACACTGTGCTCTTCCAGAGTCCCTGAGTTCTATTCCCAGCAAACACCTGGGACTCACAACCATTTATAGTGGGATCTGATGCCCTCCTCTGACATATAGTTGTACATGTAGATAGAGCACTCAAACATAAAATAAATAAATCTTAAAAAAATTAAAAAGTCAAGACAGGTTTGCCTACATGTTTTTCAGAGAGAAGAAGCCCATTGGCTGGGACACCGATATTTCCTGGCTTACGGGAGAAGAGCTCCATGTGGAAGTTCTGGAGAACGTCCCACTCACAACACACAACTTTGTAGGTGCCTTTTCATTCCAGACTCTCAGAGATGGCCAGTTTCTTTTGTATGATTTTTAATTTGGGGAATACGAAATAGAGATAAATAATTTTGTGATTGATAATTTATCTAAGTTCTGTTCTTTAAAATCATGTGTTTAAAGAGTTCTATTTTAAGTTTATTCTTTGTAACTTAATAAATATGTAATAAGTCTCTTAAAAGAAGAAAAATTAAAGGCTGGGGAGATGGATTTGTAGTTAGGAGCACTGGCTGCTCTTTCAGGGGACCCAGGTTCAACTCCCAGCACCCACACAGCAGCTCACACCTGTCTATTCTTCCAGTTCCAGGGGATCTGACAGACACAGATAATCACACAGGCAAAACCCTAATACACATAAAATTAAAAAAAGAACAAAAATTGTATAATGTAAAAGTCTATGTAGTAAAGTGAAATTTTCTTAGAAGTCAGCGTGTGTATAGGTGGGTAGGTCTTTGTATGGTTTCCGTATACACAAGTGCATGGTGGCAATCCCAGGCTTACTTGTTTTTCTCTTCATTACTGCCCGTTCTCTTTCTTGAGGGAAAACTGGGCTCATGCTATATGGTAGTGCTCATTTTTAATTTTCTCATCAGTAGGACTTGTGAGTGTTAATCTGTTTTAGTACTAGCATTATTCTTGTAATGATTGTCTAGTGGCCTATAAAAATGGAAATCTGGTACCTTTCCTCTATTAATGCAAATACAGAGTTTTATATTTACAAAATACTATGTGCCAAGTTAGACTGCCAAATTTTGGCACACACATGTCTGAAGAATCAGGTAATGACGGTAGAGTAGAATAGTTGGGTACTGAACTGTAATGAGACTGGCGGCTGGAGGAAAAACCATATTCCTTACACTGAACTCTCTTAGTGTGTTTTGCATTTGGTAAAACCAAGCTTAAGCTTGTTACCAGCATAGAACAGACTCCTAATCACCACCCTTACAGTACATCTTCAGATATGCTTAGATCCTACACTGAGCAAGAGCAATAGCCCAGAAGACATAATAGATCTTTTTAGGTCCACCTTTGTTCACAAACGTCTTTACAGACATGGTCTGCTTAAAATTCACACTCAGATGCATACCCGCTTTCTATTAATCCTTTGGAAGTTCTGCTGTCTTCCCTGCACACATGCATATTTGTATGTATGTGTATATAAAACCAACCAGATAGCCATAGAGGATATGTGTAAATAGCAGGAAGAAAACACTATGTAGGCAAATGAAGGGTATTCAGGAACTCATGACAGAACAAACTGTCAATGAGTAAGGGTTTGAGTGGTTGGCTAAAAGTTCAGGGTTTTGTATATTTGTATGTGTGTTTTCTTTTCTGAAATAATGGTAGCAGTACTAAACATGCTTAGTTTGGCAGTTATTTGATATGTAAATAAATAGCAAAGGAGGTATTGTCACGTCTGTACAGTAACAAGCAAGTGGAAAGGAGGAAAGCTATAAACAAACTTCTGGTGTTTTTCCACATGCTTTCTCAGGTGATGGGAAACCAGAGAAAACAGACCTTGCTGTATAAAGGCTCTTGAAAGGCCAGAGTGGATTGTGTGCCAGTGCATAGTTTTGAGTAATTGTTCATTAAATAAATATTTTTTGAAAATGGAGTTTTGACCTGGGCATGGTGGCATACACCTTTGGTCCTAGCACTGGGAGGCAGAGACAGCAGATTACTGGGAATTCGGGGGCAGCCTGGTCTACATAAGTATGGCCCTGTCTCAAAAAAAAGAAATAGTTTCAGAACAGGTGTGGTTTTCCATAATTGGAATCCGGGTACTTAGGAGGCAGAAGCAAGAGGCTGGTTGAAAGTCCAAGATCTGCTTCTGTCACAAAAACCATTTAAACATAAAGAGAAAAGTAATTTGGTGTGAAGATCAAATGTATCATGAAATGTATTGTTTCTATGTAGTAACGTATGTAAGATTCTAAGTTATGTTTGAGGTTATAGATTCATGTATACACAGGATCATGATATAAAATATATTTATTACTTATTGGTTGTGTTTTTAAAAACTGTAAACTGAGATGATTGAAAATACACAACAAAGAATGACATCATCCTTGCTGTCAACACTCTGAAATAAGCAATGTTCAGAGATTTTCTGTTACATATTTTTCTGCCTGTTACTGTACCACATACACATTTTATACAATTCCTCCCTTTGGAAAGAGTCCCCTTACGATAGTGCTGTTTCTTTGATCCATGTGGTACATTAAAAGTCATTGATAGTTCTTTCAAGAGTTTTGAACATTAGTTTATTTTTTTATATGAAGAAGTTATCTGAAAGCATAAACTAAAAATAAGTTCATGTCAGACATTCTTCCAGAGGTATCATAAGACTGTGGGATAAGTTTGAGGGGGAAAGTTTCCTTTCCAGTTACTGAAATTTCAGAGCTAAACTTTAAAGGTTCAGTTCATAATTATTGATCTCAGTTCTTGGGAGGCAGAGGCAGGCGGATCTCTGTGAGTTCCAGGCCAGCCTGGTCTACAGCGTGAGTTCCAGGACAGGCTCCAAAGCCACAGAGAACTCAGTCTTGGTTTTTCTTCCTCTTCTTTTTCTTTTTGATGTTTCCAGCTTGAACTCAGTTATCTTTTTAATTCAGTTTTTTAGATTTTGTTGAGAATTTCATGCCTGAGCCCCTTTAAATGTTGCTTGTTCTCACCTATTGGGATTGGATAACACATCAGGGTACTCAGTTCCTTTATTTGTTGTATCACCTTGATTTCTGAGTTTTTAAATTGGATATTAGGATGAAATAGTGTTTCAGATCCCCTGGCTTTTAATAATATATTTTGGTATGTGACTTTTATGATTGAAGTCTATTTTTGAAAGTGTTGTTTTAAGTTAAGAGAGTGGCTGTGTTGGTTTATAAGTGGCTTCTTGCAATATTTGAAACCCTTTATGGTTTTTCACTTTGCAGGTCCGGAAAACTTTTTTCACCTTAGCATTTTGTGACTTTTGTCGAAAGCTGCTTTTCCAGGGGTTCCGCTGTCAGACGTGTGGTTATAAGTTTCACCAGCGCTGTAGTACAGAGGTTCCACTGATGTGTGTTAATTATGACCAGCTTGAGTAAGTAATCCACAGAGAACCTCTTTGCTGCTACTTACAGTTAACTTCATACTGTGAAGCTAGTGTACCTAGTAGCCAGGGAGGCATGTTCTGCCTAATGCAGTTGTTGCAGAAAGTTTAGAGTCTGACAGAAAGTGACACAGGGTGCAGGCACTCCTGTCTCAGATGAAGCAGCATTGGGTCTGCTGCACATGAAGTTTGCGTTTCTTGCTCTCTTAGTAGCAAGCACTGGTCCTTAGAAACCACCTTTGGATAGTCTGGGCGGGATGGGATGAGAGAGTGCTTCAGTCGAGTCTGACTCTGTCATCCATTTTACCAGTTAAGCTGACATTCTTCCCTCACTCCAGCTCACCTGTCCTGTCTGTCTGCTTCACCTTTACCCTTTCCCCCTTGTTTAAAAGAGCAATTATATACCCTTTATTTCTTTCTAAAATTGTGTTTTTCTTTATTCTACAGTACGTCTAATATGTGTAGTCTATTGTAATCTCTTTCTGTAACTCTTTTTTTTTGCTGCTGAGATGGAATTGGACTTTTAAGTAAATAATAACACATCCAACTTAGCAGCACTCTGGAGACAGAGGCAGGCAGATCTCTCTGAGTTCAAGGCCAGCCTGGCCTACACAGTGAGTTCCAGGGAAACACAGTGAATCCGTCTCAGTAAAACAAAAAGAGTAATCTAACTTAAACCTCAGAGCATGATTTCCCCCCTGTAATATATAGAAATTGACTGAAAAGAACAATTAGTTTTAGATCTGAGCTTGCCCTTGAAAGTACAATGTAATATTTTAGACAAAAGATATACTTAGTTGAATTTTAACAGGTGTTTGCAAACATAAAGCTTGATCTCATGTTTTCCCATTACCTCTGTGTTTTTGTTTATTAAAGCTTCTGGGTTTTGCACAAGTTAGGTTTGTTTTGTTTTGTTTTGTTTTTACCTCACAGTTTGCTGTTTGTCTCCAAGTTCTTTGAGCATCACCCAGTAACACAGGAGGAGGCTTCCTTAGCAGAGACTACCCTTACATCTGGATCTCCTTCTGCACCCCCCTCAGACTCTATTGGGTATGATTTGATTCCTGCTGTTTAATGACGTGCTATTTGAACTGCCTTCCTTTGGATCTTTTGGGTAATTGTAAACCTTTCCAACACTACAACGGTTAAATTATGGATATTTTCTTTTCCCCCAGTAATATGTTTTATGCATTCAAGCATTTACATGCATTTGGTACAGAATGGGATGAAAAGCCAGGTATGGTGGTTACACCTTTACTCTCAACACTCATGAGGCAAAAGCAGGCAGATCTCTCTGAGTTGGAGGCTGACCTGACCTGGTCTGCACAGTAAATTATCTCGAAAAACTGAAAACAGACAAAAACAATCTGTCAGTCAATCAATGGTTTTAAAGCTGGTATAGACTATATTTTTAAGATCAGTTGTGAAAAAAATCAACATAAAATTTTTACACTCTGTCTTTTATTTACCATTTTATCAGGTAATGTTATGACTTCTGCTTTAAACAAAATTAATAAACAAGCTGATGATATTTTTTAAGAGTATAAATAATAACAAAGTATATTAAACTTTGATAAAACATTTAATATTTATAGAATGCAAGAAAATACTATATACTCAAGAATGCTTAATGGAGATGAGTTTTAAACTGATCTTTAAAACATTGCTAGAAGCTAAATGAACATAGGGTATCAAAGCCATTATTAGGGTCCAGAGAAGAAAGCAGATTTCAGAGTTAGTCAAAAAGCTTATCTAAATTTAGAAGTAGCTTATGTGAGCTTGCTGTGGTACATGCTTCTAGAATCCCTTAGTAGTACTTAGTAGGCTAAAGCAGAAATTTGGTGAGTTTGAACCTAACCTTTGCTACATAGTGAGACCATAATTTTAAATAACAAAAAAAAAAAAAAAAAAAAACTGGAAGAGAAAAATGGCATTTGTGTGACCAGGTAATACAGAATCTTGACATTTATGCTAGTATTTACTTGAGATATGATGACATAAGAGAATAAAGGTTTTTCAAACAAGTTACCAATGTGATAAAAATTATTTTAAAAGAAAAATTCACTTAGCAGTGAAGTACAGATAGACAGGGGAAGAAAGGATGAAGACCAGAACTTCAGGGGAGGCAATATGCAGAAAGGAAGGACATTAATAAGGGGCGAAAGCAGAGCAGGGTTAGTGCTGTCAGTTTAGGAGGAAAGCAAGGGCTTACTTTAAAAATACCTTCAAGGCACTGCATTCATAGTAGGAAATAGATGGTTATTTAAGTTGGCTCTTGAATACTTTTTGCATAGCCTGTTAATCTTTTCCCATTGTATTTAAGGCAAGATTATTTATTATGTGCCTGAAAGTCTGTAAGTTTTAAAAAGGATATGGCAGGTAACATTCTGACCTGGAGTGTTTCAGAAGTGTTTAGTTATACGTGCCTGTTTTAGTTTTCCCCCTGTTTGTATACTTGTTTGTTGTGAGGGTGGTGATGTGTGGGTGTTTGTGCAAGTGTGATATGCCATGGTGCATGTGTAGACATCGGGGACAACTTTCTGGAGTTAGTTCTCTCCTTCCACTGTGGAACCAGGGGTCAAACGGAGGATTTTAGGCTTTCAAGACAATCACTCACACAGCCATCTGGCTGACCTATATTTCTCTAGATTATACCTTAAGGAATGATAACAATAAGTTGGCACTTTTAATAGGCCTGCAATTTTTATGAAGCTAACCTTCCTAAGGTCTCACAGGTTAAAAAATTACCAAATTCATTTATATTTCCAGGAGTAGTGGCTCATTTCTATAATCTCAGTACTTGGGAGGCTGAGGCAGGAAGATTAATTTGAGGTCAGCCTACACTAGAACAAGGTCTAGTCTTAAAAATAAATTGGAGGATAGGTATATAGCTCAGTCAGTATAGTGCTTGCCAAGCACAGAGAAAGCCTTGAATTTTATTCTCAGCACCACGGACGCTGGGCATGCTGGTTGTATAACCCTGGCACTTGGGACAGCTAGAGGAAGAGAATGAGAAGTTCAAGTTCAGGACCGTCCTGAGCAAGGGTTAGACAGCTGTCTCACAAAGGAGGTAGAGAGGCTAGGGATTGACTCGGCAGTTAAGCTGCACGAGAATGAAGACCAGAGCTCAGATCCTAGCACCCTAACAGCCCAGGCATGGTTACACACACACACACACACACACACACACACACACTCACACTCACTCCTGTAATGCCAGCAAAAGGGGCTGAGACTTGCTGGCTTGCAATCTAAGTTGAAAGAGTTTGAGTTCCAGATCAAGGAGAGACCATTCTGCAAATAAGGCAGGAAGTAATAGACAGGGCCACCGGATGCCCTGCTTTGAGTTTGTTCTGGCGTGCATACATCTCCCCACCCCCATACGGAATTGGGGATGTGTGTGAGATGAGATGGCTCTTCAGTAGATAAGCATGACTGTGTAAATTTGACAGAGGCTGAGTGTGGTGGAAATCCCAGCACTCTACAGTCTCAGCAGAGGTCAGCACAGCGCAGCAGTAACAGAGACTCTGCTCCACGTGCACACCTGCACGCACACGCGTGTATTAGGTTTTTATATCACTAGGAAACGCAACCACCTGTAGTTTTGTCAGATTTTAACAGCTCTCTCTGTTGGCTCTATTTGTATGTTTTTGTAGGCAATTGAATCAAAATGTTGTTTGGCTGTGGCAATTTCACCCGACAGCATCTATAGACCTGTGATGCTTTTCTAGTGGCAGGTCCCAGTTCTGTGAACAGAATTGTAGAACATAATGAAATTAGCTTGGCCTCTCTGAAGGGTCTGAAGGGTAAAGATACCCTTCCAGTAAAGGAATGCTGTTTTAAAATTAAGAAAAAAGAGAAAAAAGAAAAGAAAAAGAAACAAAGAGAAAAACTTATCTACAAGTTAATTTCCTAATGCTTTTATATCAGCATGTAAAATTATCTTTGTAAAGATAGAAGTCAGTTGTATTAATTAGGGTTCTCTAGGGGAACAGAGCTTATAAAATGAACTCTGTGTGTGTGTGTCTGTCTGTCTAGATATATGTATGTTCATAGATTTTATGCATATATTATATATTGATTTGTTAGAATGGCTTATAGGCTATGGTCCAGCTTAGTTCATCAGTGACTGTCTCCTAATGGAAGGTGCAGCCATCAGGAGGTGTTGAGTCTGGATGGCTCTGCTGTCTTCAGTATGTCCCAGAATCCTGGAGAAGTAGGCTCCAGTGCTGGTGATGGACTGGCCTTGCTAGTGAGAGTGAGGGCAGGCAGAGAGCCTGCCAGCAGATGCCGTGGCCCGGACTGAAGGTGGATCTTCCCACTTCAAGTGATTTAATTAAGAAAACGATCTCACACAGGTGTGCTCAGATGCTTGGGTTCTAGTTAATTCCAGACATAGTCAAATTAATAATCAAGAATAGCCGTCATGTCATTTACGTTCAGTATCACAATATTGTGTTTATTAGTAGTCCTGAAACAAGTATGAATATAACAAGAAATTTTGAAAAATTAACACATTGCCCAGTTTAAAATACAGAGTAAGAGATAATTACTTCCTTTTTGTATATCATTGAATAGAAAGTCACTTTGCTTCAAAAACATTTAGTCCAGCCTAAAACTGAAATCTAAACTATTAGTAATTTTCTAAAGAGTGTTAGAATTAAAATTCTGTTACTTTTAACTTTAAAAAGGTTTGTGACAGGGTCAGTAAAAAGCTATGTCACTGGGAGAAAGTCAACTAGTGGTTAGCCAAGGTCCTTTATAGGTGGTTATAAATTAACCCTGCTCCAAAGAAAGATTGCACAGTATACAAATGCAGTTTTAGCAATTTTCCAAAAATTGCTGGTTGGAAATGTACTGGTTTAAAGTAAACAAAATCAATGAGAATAAATGAGAATATACCTGTTACCCAAACCAGACTTGTGCTGGATGGGCCTGCAGTCTTCATTGGGAAGATATTAATGAGAAGCCAAATTATTATTAGATTTTTTTGTTAAGCATTGAATTAAGACTTTGTATGGATATTTGAATACATTGGCGTATGATAATGAAGTATTTTTCATAATTATCCTGTACTTGCCTTCAAGGTTAGACAAGTTAACTTTGAACCAAGGCACACCTTCACCCTGCAGATGGTGTCACTTTCTCACATTGATTTTATGTAGCACACTTCCTTTTACCAGATTAAATGCAGGGTTTTGTTTCTCATTGTTTCTGGATCACTGTCTTTTGTATGCAGAGTTCTAGCTTGTTATCCAGTATCTATTTCTGTCATAGGCTTAACTCAGTACATTTCCGGAAGTATTTATTGCCTGTCTATGCTAAGTCACCTGTTATATTAATCAAACTATTCTATACAGTACTGGTTAATTCAGGCTGTCTCAGTTTTTAGTCCTGAGTTTCTGCCTGTATGTTTGCCTCCATGCCAGAAGAGGGCACCAGATCTCATTGCAGATGGTTGTGATCCGCTGAGTGGTTGCTGGGAATTGAACTGAGGACCTTTGGAAGATCAGCCAGTGTGCTCTTAACCTCTGAGCCATCTTTCCAGCCTACCTTTACTTTAAAATTTTTATTATATTTAATATGTGTGGGTGTTGATGTTTACACCAAGGCAGGCACGTGTATAGAAGTCAGAAGACAGCTTTGGGAAGTCAGGGCCCCTTCCCAAGGACCAACCCCACTTTCCATTTTATCCACTCTCTGAGCTCACTGGCCTCTCCTTTTATATCTTCTTTACCATTCTTTTCTAATTCCCCTTTCTGACTGTCATTTTGTTATCTCCACATTGTCTTTCTAATCTAGTAGTGATTAAATAGAGCTGGTGAGTTTTTACAAATGTGGCAAAATGGTGATCAGTGAGAAGAGCTGGTCCATGTCGGAGCATCCATGGTCCAGATGAAGTTTAGTCAGAGCTTCCTTGTATCCCCTGCAAGTGGTAATCACTTCTCTACTCCTGAGAATTTTTTCCTGAGGGGTCTGGTGGCTTTATAAGTGCTTATACTCTAGTTTCAGATTCTCAGTGTGCCTCATCCCAGGCTCTTTTAGGCCAGCCTAGATTCTATTATCTGCCTCTCCCCCCCCCCCCCCATGTCACTCTGTAACCCATTAGGATATTTTAATCAAAAGTAATTTTAGGGCTGGGAAGATGGCTCAGTAGCTAACGAGCTTTCCATTCCATGCAAGCTTGAGGACATGAGTTTGGATACCCAGAGCCCGTTTAGAAAGCTGGGCTGTGGCTCTTTGAACCTGCGACCCCAGTGCTGGAAGACAGAGACAAGAAGATTTTTGGAGTTTGCTGGCCAGCCAGTCTAACCAATTGTAAATTCTGAGTTCAGTGAAAAGACCCTGTCTCAAAGGCAGATACGTAACGCCAGCCTCTGGCTTCCGTGTGCACCTCCAAACCACACGGCCCATATTTGCTTCAGGGTTTCATACTGTATGATATTTTCATCTCTGGTGTTAACAATTAGACATGGAGAAAAAAAACTCTTTGATATGAAAGATAATTGGCACTATATTACCTTCCAAAGTTTTGAAAGTTATTTTTAGATATTGTAGGAATTTTGTTCAGCTCTGGCATTAAGCAGCAGCTATATCTTTGGGGTCCTGAAATATACAGGTATATTCTCAAAACTACCTGTAACTTCCCAAGTTCTTCCTTAAATTTCTCAGATTATGAGAAAGAGTATTTAAGAAACAGCATGGTTTATTCAGCTAGTCTCTGCCTGGAGCATTTTATTTCTGTATATAACTTAAAGGATAAGGACTGCTTCTACTGATTAACCACAGGTGATTTCTAGCCGTTTATAGATTCCTCTGGAATTTTGATTTTTTCAAAGACTATCATATTAAATACAAAAATCTTATAACTTTCATTTTAAGTATTATTATCTATACAATTGCTCCAAATCTTATTTTCCAATGACTTGATTTTTCCAGGCCCCAAATCCTCACCACTCCATCTCCTTCAAAATCCATTCCAATCCCACAGCCCTTCCGACCAGCAGACGAGGATCATCGAAATCAGTTTGGTCAGAGAGACCGGTCCTCCTCAGCTCCCAATGTCCATATAAACACAATTGAACCTGTCAATATTGATGTAAGTATTAGCATTGCTAGAACTCCTAACAATTCAAGTGTGCTTCTTTGTTTTTGTGTTATATTTTTAATACAGATTGGAAGTAAATGCCATCTTTCATTTATAATGTAAGTGCTAGCTAGGTTCATATGAATTATAGATCCAGAAACCCTATCTTATTTTATGACAATATTAAGTACTTTACTATTGCCAAGTTACAGTAATTCTCATTTTTTGTCTGACGTTATCTCTGAAAAAGTTTTAAATTAAAATGATTTAAATATAGAATTAATAGAAGCCCTCCAGTGAATTTATGAAGTCCTCCCTAAGATTTTTGTGCAATTATTATTGTTATAAAAATGACATTCAGAATTTATATTTGTTCTGTCATGAGTTTGGCATTATAACCAACAAGCAATTCGATGTTCATGTTACCAATCATGTAGTTGGAACTGTAATTTAAATTTTATTTTATTATAAATTTTAATTTAATTACCAAGATAAATCATGAGTAAATGGTTCTAAAGTCAGACTTTCTTCCTACTTTGTATTATGTTTCTCCCCCTACATTTTGGAGAGTAAGTTCAATTAAGTGGCTTTTTCCTGGTGCCAGCTTAAACTAAGGCCGCCCTGACTCTGTGTAGACCTCAGTACACAGGGAGTGGGAAGAGAGGGGAGAAAGGGGATAAGGAGCTTGGGAAGCCAGGAGTCCACGTGTATTTGAAGGCTAGGAGTGGCCCTGGTGTGTTCAAGGTTGTAATCTGCATGTGTAATTGAAAAAAGCATCTTTTTAACAACTTCCCTTTTGTTTTTTCTTGTGTGGTTGTCCTGGTATCTTGGACTTAGCTATTTGAAGAATAGCTTTGTCTTCCTGTTTTGTCCTTTTCATAACGTAACAGCCATAACCCATTTTCCTCTTTGTGTGTGTCTCCGGCTGTTGTGACTTAGTGATGTCCCCATTTGATTCCATATCCTTCGTCTGAACAGTGTACTGCTTTTATTCCTACCATTACCTTTTCTGCACCCATCTCCATCCTGGAGCTCTCACCAGGGCGGAGTTTGGTTTTGTGACACTTTTATCTCGTGTTCCCTTGTTTGAAAGCTTTTAGTAGCGTAAAATTTTTACTCATGGTCAGTCACTTTTTATCTGAGGAAAGAGACTTCTCTTTGCCCCTGGGCTCAGCAATTGGGGATTTAGGATGAATTGACATACCATCTTTGTCCTCTGTGATACCACAGTTTAGTGCATGAATCAGGCATGCAAATAATCACAGAAAAATGTGTGATTCTAGTTCACAGAAGGGATGTGATGAACTCTGCCTGGTTGGATGTAGGAATATTTAGCGGTGAAGGGTTAGCTTTGAAGTTACACTGTAGAAGGTAAATGACTAGGGATATATTAAGTACACTGTAGGGGGATGATTTTTTTTTAAAGAAGGTAATTGTTAAGGAAATAGTATATGCAAGGTTGTAGAGTTGCCTTTACATGGGAGGACTTCAGAGTTGAGGACAGGGCTGACAGATGGTGGAAAGTGAAAGCAGGAAATGTCAGTACTGGCTGATTTCATGTATCACTCTAAAGTAGTGATAGGAACTCTGAAACACATTGGGAGGGGGACTACAGCTCACTGAGTAGCTCAGAGTGGCCTTGAACTTATTTCCTGTCCCATCGTCTTAAGTACTAGGTTTGTCAGGATGGTGGTGCACAACATCTGACACCAAAACCACACGTTGAGTGTGAGAAACCCTCTCCATATTTCAGAAGCATCTTTAGTTCTAACCCATGTAAGGGCAGAGCTGCAGACAGTGTGGCGTTTGCTGTTTTAGGCAAGAGACGATAAAGGGTTGCCGTCAAGTCGTAGCGGTGGCGGCAGGACGGAGAGCAAATGAGCTGAGGGCTGAGGGAGTGGAGACTGTGGCGGGTTTTTAGAAGTCGTGGAAATGGCTGAGTACTTCCTGTGCCTCAGGCACTATGCTAAGTGCTTTAAATCCTCGTGAGAAACAGATTGTCATATTCTGAAGGGTACTCAGTTTACAGGAGTTTAAGAAGCCAACCCATGATCACATGACTAATATATGACTGAAATGGGCTGAAGTCATTTAAACCTGGCTCTATTTTCTTGTACGTATCTACTATATATCAGTAGAAAAGAAAGGTTAAAGAGAAGTAAGAGATAACAGTTGACTCTCTGGCATATGGACACGGCTAGAAACCAGGGCAGGGTTTATAGAAACCTATTTTTTAAAAAATTACTTTTGTATTTTATCCAGAGAGACTTTAGGATAACTGTGGGAATATTATGACCTCAAATGGAGATAAAACTTAAAGAAAATCAGTGTGTGTGTTTCAGTCAGAGCCATAAATATAAATTATTTTACTCAAAAAGTAAATTAAATTGGAAAGAGTTAAAAACACCCTGAAGTTAAAAAAAGAAAACATAACCTGGTGAATCTTAGCATTGTAGCAGAGACCATTTCTCCATTCCTTTGTGAGCTCTTTGCAAGTGTACTGCAGAGACCAAGCAATTGGGCTTCCAAAATCCTGATTGGAAGCAGTTAAGAACACTGGCTGCTCTTCCAGAGGTCCTGAGTTCAAGTCCCAGCAACCACACGGTGTCTCACAACCATTTCTAGTGAGATCTGATAACCTCTTATGGCATAAAAGTATACACTCACACATAAAATAAATAATAACTCTTTATAAGAAAATGCTGATGGAAAGGATGCCACTTACCATGAAGATTCAAATGAGATAAGGGCTAAAATGAGCATTGTTTTTGACAACTAAATACCATAGGGATATGGGACTGGCAAGTTTCAGCTGATAAAAGTACCTGGTACATACTGAGTGGTAATGGTACACACCTTTAATTATATGGATCTCTGTGAGGTAGAGCCCAGCCTGGCCTACAGAGCTTGTTCCAGGACAGCAAAGGCTACATAAAGAAATCCTGTCTTTGGGGGGGGGGGGGGCTGTACTTTTTATAAAAGCTTGACAACTGATGCCCAGAACCCATGGTAGAGGGTATTCCTTAGGCTCAATCACCCAGCACCATTCATTTTTAGGTCTTTGCAGCTAGGCATGGTGGTGCTCACCTTAATCCCAGTACTAGGGAGGCAGAAGCAGGCAGAATTTGTGAGTTCATAGCCAGCCTGGTCTACCCAGCAGTTCTAGGCCAATGAGAGATCATATCTCAAACAAATCAGCAAGTAAATAGAAATTGTAAAGTTGTTTTGCTTTCAGAGGCAAACAGAAGAAGCCCGAGAGGAAATGGAGTGTCAGTTTTGAGAAACTTGGCTACATAGGAATGGCAAGAGGACTGAAGCTTGACACAAACTTGAGTGATAGTTGCTTCTAAACTGCGATCTCAGCAGTTTTATAACTGGAGAGAGAGAAGCTAATGAGAAGCGGTTGAGGTAGTAAGGAGAGGATATTTGATAAAATTTCTTGGACGTAAAAATGATGTCTTGCAGGGGCTGTGATAAATTAAAAGTAGATATATCTCTTTACACACTGCATGAAATAGAACAAATTTCTTAACCCTAGGGCTAGTATTAATTTGATTTTTTTTTTTTTTCCCCTTGTTTTGCTTCATTTTGTTTGAGATGTATCCCTGGCTGGCCTGGAACTTCTGTGTAAATCATTTTGTTCTCAAACTCAAGTTCAGCCTGCCTCTGCCTCTGCCTCCTGAGTGCCAGGGTTAAAAGCATGCACCCCATGTTCAGATGTGGTTGGAGTGGGGGTGTGTATGATCCATGGCTTAGTCAGAGAGCCATGACCAAAGCAACGCTTACAAAAGAAAGCATTTTATTAGGGGCTTGCTTACAGTTTCAGAGGTGTGCTCCATTATCATCATGGTGGGGGTATGGTGGCGTGCAGGCAGGCCCTGGACAGTAGTTGAGAGTTCTATATTTGATCTGTGGACAGAGATAGACAGCCAAACTGAGCCTGGCATTGGCTTTTGAAACCTCCCTGTGACATGCCTCCTCCAGCAAGGCCACACCTGCTCCAGCCTAATCCTCGCAGGCGTTACAGTCCCAGGTAGCTAAGCATTCAAACCTATGAGCCTGTGGGAACCATACTCCTTCAAACCACCACAGTACGTAAGGAGAGAGAATTGAAGTCAGCCGGCAGCCTGTGCTTTATGACACCCTGGAGAGGGAGGGAGAGGGGGAGGGAGAGGGGAGCGAGTGACGTCACACATTGTGGCAGGGGCTACTGTGCACGTGTTCAGAGAGTCCTTGGGTGTTTGTTTCTTCTGTGATGCTGAATCCGCGGGCTGAGAAGAGATTAAGGGAACAGTGAGGTTGAACGTGTGGTCTTAGGTCGGGACTGGTACTCGCTTCTAAGGGAAGAAAAGCCACATTTGGCCACAGCTGCAGGGAGCTCCAGGCTAGAGTGGGTGAACTGAAGAGGCGGAGCCTCTTTCCCCTGGGGCCTTCTGTCTAGAAAGCCCCTTGCTCTTCTGCTTGCCAGTCTTCCTCACAGCCCCAGATCAGGGTTCTTCAGCTGCATCACCGATGCCAAAACCCTAGTGCCATGGCCACCAGTCTCAGATCTAGCTGCTGCAGGCAGTGTCATCTTAGTCTTCAGATACATCACTAAAAGTCTTGTCATCACCACACTCGGTGGTACTGAGTCAGCAACAAACTCATCTATCTCTTATTCTTACACTGTTACTCATTTTCCATGTGTCTACATCTTACAGTGTATTTGTAAACTCTCAAAATCACCAAAAGGTAGTGAAACCAGCAAGATTTTTGTTACGGTAGCCAGACAACCCCAACACCTTGGTCACTGTTTGAAGTTATGGTGATTTATTAATTATTCTGTTGACAGTGTTTAAGGTTTTGTATAGTACATTGAACATGATACTAATACACTAGTAAAGAATTTACTCTTTGCTGGGTGTTGGTGGCAAACGCCTTTAGTCCCAGCACTCGGGAAGCAGAGGCAGGCAGACCTCTGTGAGTTCAAGACCAGCCTGGTCTACAGAGTGAGTTCTAGGACAGGCTCCAAAGCTACAGAGAAACCCTGTCTCAAACCCCCCCCCCAAAAAAAAGGAATTTACTCCTTGTTTTACTCAGTAAGCCTGTTTGCAAATGGTACCTATTTGAAAGTAACCTTTTTAGAGACATTTGGGGCCATTCGATCCTTCTCACTTAAGTTAATCTGAGTAAACTAATCCAAGTTCTGCAGACTGGGATCCAAATTTCATTACATATGCAATTTCCCCTGCTACTGACATTCTTGTAGAAGCTGTATTTAAAATAATAGAGAGCAATGTAAAAAAAAATTCGTATTTGAGCTGTTTTGATTTCCCCCCTTCCTATTTAATGTTGTACATCCACATTTTTATGATAGTATTTAATGTACTTTGATTTTTTTATTACATGTGAACATGTTTCATATTTTAAGTTTCATAATTGTTTTGGTAACTGTGTACTACTCATTAAATTGATACACCATAACCGTATATGTCAGAATGCCTATCAGGAAAATAATTATTTCTGATTTTTGGTGTGATGGATAATGCTGCACTAAACATCTTTGTGCATATCATTTTTTCTTCTGAATTATTTCCTTAGGAAAAATTCCCAGAAGTGGAATTGCAGGATCAAAGGGTATGAACATTTTTATGGCTCTTAATATGTGCCAGTAGGATTTTCTTCTGATTGATGGAGCCACTGAGTGGCCTGAAATGGATTTCAGCATTTGGTCAGGACTAATAATCCTTTCGTGTAGGGCTAGGCTGGCAAGTGCTTCAACGTTTAGTGTTTATCATAAACAGTAGCTAATTGCCTTTGTCTTGTGAAATAATTTATAAGACAGGTATTGTTTTGAATTAACCCTTCTGCTAATGCATAGTGGAAAGTTCATTTGTTGTTGTGACTTTTTTTTACTGTGTGCTTTGAATAAATGTATTTTACTATTTGTTTGTAGGATTTGATTAGAGACCAAGGGTTTCGTGGTGATGGAGGTAAGTAGTGATTTTAGATCTTTGTGTTTTTATTTTTTTTTTAAAGGCAAAAATGCAATTGCTTTGCTGCTTGTCTCCTTTATAGTTGCTTTTTTTCATGAAACAGACACAGAGAAAAATGTGTAGAGAAAACCAAATGGGTTTTAGTGCTGTTTTTTTTTTTTTTTTTTTTTTTAAGTCGTTATTATTTATTGCTGGCAGAGTTTAAAAGCATCCATAGCACATAGAGAAAATGAGAAGATGTAAAAGAAAGTCTTAGATGTACCATTCACAATTTTAAAATACACTACCAAAGAGAGAGCCTTAATTATTTTATCCACTTTTAAATTCCTGCTGATTCCAAATCTGGAATTCCTAATTTTCTTTTGGCCGCCACCAAATAATACTTGGAGGAGTTTAGAAGAATCAGGTTAAATCATTCTAAATCACTCTTTGGGTTGTCTGCCACATCTCAGTTTCTCCGACTTCATCAAGCGCTTCTCATCAGCTTTCTAGAACTATTTGAAATGTACATTTATTTCAAAGAATGACCCATAATGGAAAAGTTCAGTAATCCTTATTGGTAAAGAAAATATACACGTGAGAAATTACATTAAGATCTCTTACAGAATTTCCATCCAGCCTCCCAGTATGATAGCATATGCCTGTGACCCTAGCTGAGGCAGGAGGAACACGAGTTTGAGGCTAGCCTAAGTCTACATAGCCAGACTCTCTCAAAAAACAAAGCAAGAAAACTCTGTAATAATGTAGCTTGTATATTTTCTAAGAGATGGCATTTGAGACTGTCTTGACGTTTTCATGCAAGAGTCCCTGTGTTTACCTTCTCGGCTGCCTTCTGTCTTACTAAAAAGAGTGCATTAGCTGCACACCGTGCCTGGAGCTGGGTTCTTCACTGTGACCTGACCTGCATCTTCAGAATAGGTCCAACCCCAGACTCAGAGTTTATACTGAATAAATGCTGTGTAAGCCAAACACTGTAGCGTTTCTGTACTCCGGTGAGGGTATCAAATAACAAGCATGAATTATGTACTTAGTATCAACTGGATCACATACTTACTCAAGAGTTTTTGTTGTTTGTTATTCCATGAGCCTGCCAGTTAATGTCGCTGCCAGTTTGACTTTCATATGTCTTAATAGCTATGGCCGCTAATTTTGCCCAATACATCCAGCATTTAAATGTTTCCATCATGTTAACTTCACAGTTAATTTAGTAAAACAGCCTGCTTAGTACCTAAAACCACGTGGCATTTCTGTCCTTGTTATGAGTCACTTTAAAGAAATTCATTGGGGTTTTTATGAAAATATAAGCAGATTTTTAAAAAGCGTCCAGAATTGTTTTGTGAAGCAGGCTTCAGTTCATCTGATTTATCCCCATGACTCCTTTCATTTCTTCTGTGTGTCTGTCTTCCTGTGTTTGCCTGCTCCTCTCTTTCTCTTCTAACAGCCCCCTTGAACCAGCTGATGCGCTGTCTTCGGAAATGCCAATCCCGGACTCCCAGCCCCCTCCTACACTCTGTCCCCAGTGAAATAGTGTTTGATTTTGAGCCTGGCCCAGTGTTCAGAGGTAGTTGGGCTCTTCTTTCTTGTTTTCTCCCAAGCACAGATTGTTTGTGCCTCGCCCTCACAGCGTGTGTTTGTACGTGTGAGAGTTTAAGTACTAAATTTCTGCTTGGCCTGGCTGGAATGCTCTGAATGTGCTTTTCACACATACTCACTCCTGCAAGCTTTCTGTATGCTGTCCATTACAAATTTTTAAAAGCAAGAAAATTCTGAGTTGGGATTTCCATCTTGCTTATTGTTGTCTTATTTCTGTTTGGTCTTAATAATTTCTTAAATTCTGGGAAACGTGGGTAGGATTCCTTTTACTTTAGTCCATTAGATGTTATCTTTGATGAAGTAACATTAATATTTTTTAAGATGTAAATGGAAACCTCTATGAAAAGGTTTTTATGCTGGGCCTATTGGCTCATACCTGTGACCTTAGCACTTGACAAGCAGAGGCAGGAGGAGAGAGTCACTGAGACTTTTATGACACTTCTGACAGGTTTTTTTTTCTTTGAGATTTTGTAATATAAGTAATTTTTTGTTCTCTATTCTTCCCCTTATATGTAATATATTGTGACTAATCTATAAACATAAGTTCAGAAAAATTGAATCTATATATGTTAAATTATGCTGTCCTGTAAGGAAAGTTAATGATATAATTGTAGTCTCCTATTTTACCTGTCACATTTTAATTATTGTTAAATTAACTTTTAAATTTAAGATAAAATTTGGATACCTTATTTTAAATATTCTTACAGTTATATTTACTGTCTCAATAATACTTAGTGACCTATACTTAATCTAATGATCGTGCTTTAGAGTTTCCCGTCAGCTTAGCTGTTCCGTAGATGCAGTACATGTCATTCAGAACTCAGTGATGTAATGTAACTAATACAATAAATAAGAGCTCTGCTCGAGGCACGGGCAAGTTATCAGTGCTTTGTAATGTTGGACATTATCAGTGTTTTCTATAAGACATATTGTGTTCTAGTTAGGAGAAATTCCAGACACCATTTTGTTTTAGAAAATTGCATATGCAATAATAGAATTTTCACACAGTGCTATAATGTGATGTGATGGTTATAAAATATCTGTTCAGATTTAGCCTTTTAATACAGTTGTTGGCATACTTGCTGTTTGAAAGAGCATGACTGTTTTTACCCTTCAGATTAGTATACTTTATAATTTCTTGGAGATTTTTGCTACTGTGTATGGGAATCTACCTGGAAATATCAGGCCTGTTTTCACTATGTACTTTGCTGAGCACTGCTCTAAACTCGTGGCTTATGTACCACATGTGATTCTGCTAACTGGGCCTACTACAAAGTTCACGTGCCTTATAAAATGTTGCTATATATCTGAAATACAGCTGGGATGCCATAGCATTTATTTGCTCACCTTTGTAATATCAAGTTTTTCAGGAACTCTTGAAAGCCTGTTGAACAGGGCTGGAGAGATGGCTCAGCAGTTAAGAGCACTGGTTGCTCTTCCAGAGGATCAGGGTTCAATTCCCAGCACCCACATGGCAGCTCACACCTGCCTGTAACTCCAGTTCCAGGAGTTCCAACACCTTCACATAGATGCACAGGCAGGTGAAACACCAGTGTACATAAAATAAACAGAAATAAATAATTTTTTTTTCCAAAAAGAAAGAAAGCCGGGCCCTGGAGAAATGGCTCAGAGGTTAGGAGCACTGGCTGTTCTTCTAGAGGATTTGGGTTCAGTTCCCAGCCCTCTTCTGTCCTCCAAAGGCACCAAGCAGACAAATGGTACACAGACAGTCAGAGCATCCACATAACACACATGAGCAAAACAGACAAACAAAACTAAATAATAATAACTTTAAAAAAAAAAAAAAAAGACACCTGCTTAGCTTTTATTATCTTAACTTTGCAGTAAAGGCAACAATCTGTATTTAATAGAAAAAAATTCTAGGGACCACTGGCATGGCCCACCATCTCTTAAATACCAGAGCTAGTGTTTAAGATCATATATAAATTTAGAGCTAATTTGTAAGGCCATTAAAAATGTTTCCGTTTTGAAGTTTATGTGTTTTTGAAATATCAAGGCTATTGAAATAATACAAAATAGTTTGTTTTGTAGAGTTTTGCATTCATTCCGTTGTTGGAATTTTGTTTTGTTAGTTTTTTCTTGTTTTTTTGAGACAGAGTCTCTGTATTATGTGGCCCTGGCTGTCCTGGAACTCGCTCTGTAGAGCAGGCTGGCCTTGAACTCACAGAGATCCCGCTGCCTCTGCCTCCGAGTGCTGGGATTAAAGGTGTGCAGTACCATGCCTATGCTTGGTTTTGATGCTTTATTTTTTATCAAAGGCACTGGAACTTGGTAGTAAATTGTAGAAAATGTGCCTTGGTTTAGAGATTGGTTTTTCTGGACTTGTTAATTAGTATCTATCTTAACAGTCATTAAATTGGCCAGAAAACAAAAAGCGATTATAGTACTAATCACCAACAGTGTCCCTTTTGGCCTGCCCTTTGTAAAAGGCCAGTGTTTAAACATGCACTGCATTTTAAAATCTAGGCCTCCCCACTTCCTGCCCCTGTTAAGTGAACATGCTTTCTCCTACTTAATGTGGATAATTTCCACTTCCTCTAATTTAGGGTCAACTACGGGGCTGTCTGCCACCCCACCTGCCTCATTACCTGGCTCACTCACTAACGTGAAAGCCTTACAAAAATCTCCAGGACCTCAGCGGGAAAGGAAATCATCATCCTCAGAAGATAGAAATCGAATGGTAAGGACATGTGATGCGTTTTTCCTATAATCATAGCCAAATATAATTTTGCCGTTTAGATATAATAGGACTGTGTGATGTAAATTTGAGTTAATAGTTTTCTTTGCATGAAGTATAGTCATACAAAACTGATTTGTTTGCTCCCATTTCTAATCAAATTTTTAAGAGGTCACTTTGAAAAGAAAATGATGTTCTATTTATAAATAAGGAGGACGAGTATAAACAAGTATTCAGAAAGCATGATTAAGCTTATATGTTCAGAATTCAGATACCTACCAAATGACATTCTTTCATATTTGAAAATTAATTTTCTGCTATTTTTACCTTACCAAAGAATTGGTATGTTGATTTCTTTTTATCTTTTTGATGACCAAGTCAGTTATGTAAGGAAATCTAGCACCAACAGTTAACATGACATGTTAACATAAAGTTTTAGGGATTTGAAGCCAAAACTAGTCACAGATATATACTTGTTATCTTACTTCTGTAGTCCTCCAAATAGTTACAAAGCCACTTTATCTTGATTTTAAGAATAACAATGTAGACAGAAGTTTCATCCTGCCTGGTCCCTCAGCTGTTTAGTCACAAATAAACACAAAGAAGCTTATATTAGTTATAAACTGTTTGGCCTGTGGTTCAAGCTTCGTATTGGCTATCTCTCTCTTAGTTACTACCCCATAACTATTAATCTGTGTATCTCCGTGTGACCGTGTGACCTTATCCCTTATCATACTGGAAAATGCCTGGGTGTCTATCACCCTGGTAGTTTCATGGAATCTCTCTACCGACTCACTCTCTCCCTCATCTCCCAGAATTCTCCTCGTCTGGTAGCCCTATAGTTCCTGACTATCCATTGGCCAAAACAGCTTTTATTCTTTAACCAATAAGAGAAACATATATTCACAGCATACAGAAGGACATCTCCCATCACAACAATATGTATTTCTACACACAGTAAATTTATTATTTTGAATTTTTTAAGTTAGTACTTCATTATTTTGTGTATGTGGGTATTTGACTGAATGTATAAGTGTAACATGTATATGCCCAGTCCTAAAGGGAGCCAGGAGAGTGCGGTGGGTCCCCGAGAACTGGAGTTAGGGTGGTTGTGAGCTGCCATTTGGGTGCTGGGACTCAAACCCAGGCCTCTAGAAAAATAGCTACTGCTCCTAACTTCCGAATTATCTCTCCAGCACCAGTTATTTCTGTTTTTTTTTAAGTAATTTTCCGCCCTAATATTGACCCATCTTAAATTTAATTTTGTATTTTGAGTCAAGATTGTAACTTGTGCTTCTTCAACATGGTGGCATTTTGTTATTTTCTTTCCTTGCTCTCTTCCTAACTTCCTGTGAGGCAGTAATATATTTAGCATGAAACATAAGGATTTTCTTTTTTTTTTTTTTTTTGCCTTGGTTGACCTTTGCACTATATTTTTTGAGAAAACACTCGGTAGACGAGATTCGAGTGATGATTGGGAGATTCCCGATGGCCAGATTACAGTGGGACAAAGGATTGGATCTGGATCGTTTGGAACTGTCTACAAGGGAAAGTGGCATGGTATGTATGTAATGTGGTGGCATTAGCACAAGGAGGGGGCACCAGCCAGGCATTATGATAAACACCTATATTCCCAGCACTTAGGCTGTAGAAGCATGAGCATTAGGAGTTCAAGGGCATCCTTAACTGTAGAAGGTTCAAGGCCAACTTGAGCGCTACAAGAGACTGTCTCAAAACCAGATACAAAGTCAGAATTATTCAGTTTGCATCATTAAACTGTTCCCATCAAATGCAGAAGCCCTTAAAGGTTTCTAACAAAAATGGGGGAACATTAAAAACTGGCTTCGCAGTAGTCAAGGTTGCTGTCAGTAAAGATGAAGATCGTCAAAGTTCATTTTCCTTTTAAAAGTATTCCTTTTGATAACTTATGGTTATTATCAGTCACGAGTAAACATAAAAATCGTTCATCCTTACTAGTTTTCTAAGATTGCAAAATCAAAAGGTAGAAATCACAACTTTCCAAATGAACAGTTTTTGAGTTGACTACTGTAGATTGTGATTATAATCCTGCTTATTTCCTTCTTGCTAATGGGGAAATATGAAAAATTTGGGGGACTGTACATTGAGCCTAAGCAAGTCATTGGGCAGTAGTGAAGAGGTTGATCCATGGGAAAGTATACTTCCCAGGGGTATGGTAATGATGGAAAAGGAGAATAGACTTGAAAACCAGGTGTTTCCTGAAGCATTAAAGTATTCAGCAGTATTAGGTGGTGTAGCTGATAGAATAAATACTATATTACTTTGATAGTTAAAAAAAAGACATAGAGTGGTTTTATATATTTGTGTATGTGTGTGTGTGTGTTCAGATAATTGAAACTCATCAAGTGAATACATTTATGATTAGTAAGCATAACATTTACAGCCTTCTAGAAGGTCCTGGCATGCCCTCTTCACTCACTTCCCCTGCAAAGATAACGTCCTGACTTCAGTAGAGTATAATGTGTCATCTTTTTTTGTTTGGCTCCTTTTTTGCAATATTGTAAGGCACATCAGTGTTGTTGGGAGTCTGTGTGTCAGTCATCCTCTCTGTGGTATTCCGTTATGTGACTGTAATGTGATTTCTCCCATCTGCTGTATAATGTGCATTTGGGTAGTTTCCAGTTTGGTGCTATTTTGAATGATGCTGCAATGTATATTTTTAGTGTATGCCTTTTGAAGAACATATGTGTATATTTTTACTGGCTATATGCCTAGGAGAGAATTATAGAACTACACCATATGCATACTTACAGTTTTATAGATACTCTATCAGTGCTGCCAATTGATTTTACCAGTTTACACATCTCCTAGCAGTGTGTAAGAGTTAACTTTAAGCCCGACCATGGTGGCACACGCCTTTAATCCCATCAAGAGGCAGAGGCAGGTTGATCTCTGTGAGTTCGAGGCCAGCCTGCTCTACAGAATGAATTCCAGGACAGCCAGGGCTACACAGAGAAACCCTATGTCAAAAAGCGGAAAAAAGAAAGACATTCATTCACATTTTATAATTTGAAATTTAGAGTGACAATTTTCTTTCAGGTGACGTGGCGGTGAAAATGTTGAATGTGACAGCACCCACTCCTCAGCAGTTACAGGCCTTCAAAAACGAAGTAGGAGTACTCAGGTGAGCTGTGGCCACTGCTTCCTGCGGGCGGGTGGGCGGGGCCACTTCAGGGAGAGAATCGTATGTGTCTCCTTGCGGGCTGTGTTTACATTGTTTTCCTGCTGTGCTGTACACACATTTAGTAGTGTGTATAGAATGCTTGTTCCTGGAAGAATCAATGGAAACAAAGTATCTGACCATGTATAATAATAGTCCCATTTGGGAAAGTAATACTCTAAAAATTGTAAATGTCTCAGAACATATTTAAAATTGTATTAGTCCTTGGCTCTAGGACTTGAGGTATATACACATGAGAGTAAATCCATGATAAGAAGACATACATAGGGAAGATTCTGGAGTTACAATTTTCTGTGAGGGGAATATTAGCAAAACTAAGATTTCAATACAGAGAAGGCTATTGTATTCAAGAGGGTGCATAGTCACTTCTGTATTGCAGAGAGCAGAACAAGGAAGTTAGTTGTGGAGGGTAGAGGGAAATGATTTTGCTTTCACCTAAGAAAACTTCCTAACATGTTTAGAACCACTTAAAATAAAGCAGCCTCTGCTTCTTCAGTCAATACGTTTAAATAATTTATTTCTGATATAATCGTAGGTTGGACTAGATTAACTATTAAGTTGACCTCATTTTGTTCCTAGTACTTTTTATTGAGAGCATATCATTGGTAGACTGACTTGGCTCTCACGTTTCTTTTTTACAGGAAAACACGCCATGTGAATATCCTACTTTTCATGGGCTATTCAACAAAGCCACAGCTGGCTATTGTTACCCAGTGGTGTGAGGGTTCCAGCCTGTATCACCATCTCCACATCATTGAGACCAAATTTGAGATGATCAAACTTATAGATATTGCACGGCAGACTGCACAGGGCATGGAGTAAGTTCAGTTCTGTTAAATCGTCATATATCACTTTTAAAAACCACGTAAAGATACTTTAAGGTCCTTAATCCTTCTTATGGGCTGCATTTTACGTTTCTGTGCAAGGATACTAATAGCTAGCACTAGCTTATTAAAAGCATAATATTTCTCTAGCTCAGCCTTTATTCGAGGAATGTAGTATTTGATAAGAGCTTTGCAACTGCAAATGATGATCAGCACTCGATGAGTGTGTGAACAGTGGGAATACAGAAAAGCAGAACCCTCCCCCAACAAACAAACAAACAAACACCACCGCTACAGAAGCCATTACTAGCTAATGGAAAAAATGTGGCTATTATCTGTGCTTTCAAATCATTTTCTCTTCCATGCCTATATTTTCTGCTGCAAAATACCCAGTTTAAATATCTACATTCTGATCCTACTTGAGGACATCAAGTTGAAACATGTATGTCTACTGCGTTTTGCTTTGTAATTCAAAAGATACGGGTTAAAATTAAATGGGGGCAGGTGTACTGGCTCACTCCTTTAATCCCAGCACTCAGGAAGCAGAAGCAGGTGGATCTCTGTGAGTTCAAGGCCAGCCTGGTCTACAGAGCGAGTGTCAGGGCAGCCAGGTTTACATAAAAAGACCCTGTCTCAACACAAGAAGAAAGAATTGGCTCTAAACGACTTTTGCATAATACTCTTGAATTTAGGGCCTCAGCTGTGGTTTGGTAATAGCATTTAAACAGCATACACAAACCCAAGAGCCAATGCCCAGCACAAAGCAAATTTTAAAAGTTACTTAACTGAGGCCAGGCTTGGTAATACACGCCTTTAATCCCAGCATTCCAGAGGCAGAGGCAGGAGGATCTCTGTGAGTTCCAGAACTAACTAGAGAAACTCTGTCTCAGAAAAACAAAGAAGTACTTAGCTGAAAACAATAAAATATAAATTTGAAAGCTCTATAAATAGTTTAAAAGTATATCTTTGTATGCAAATTGCTTCTGTGTGTATATATTGGTATGTCACTTAATATTTAAAATGTTATAAAGTAGATACTTTAATTTTGCTTTTACAGATAAGAAAACAGGCTTAAGTAACTTGTATAAGTAAACTTGTTAGGTCACATATTTAGCAAATTTATTTTATTTTAAGATTTCAGACTAGTTTTTCCCATAATCACTTAGACTACCTTTACATTATAAAATTGGAAGAAAAGGGTAAAAGTGAATATGTCTTGACACCTACAACTCTTCCCTCAAGATCATTTACAGAAAATAAGTGTGACGCCAGATCCCCAAACCATATCTGATTCCTCAGGTTTTCACCTTCCCTCATTCAAGACTAGGCAATAACAGAACGCTTTATTACTCACGCTGTCTTAGTCACCACTCTTACACAAGAAAGCATTTCACTGGTACCTTCTTATGGATTCTGAGGCTAGGTCCTAAACCCTGGCAGAAACTCAGCAGAGATAAACAATGCTCATTCATTTTCTGCCCACTACTCTGTGCCATTTGTGCAGTAGGCAGAACAGCACGAACCACCCCCGCCCCGCCCCGCCCCACCCCGCTCAGCCTCTCTATATTTGCTCCTTCTTTGGAATAATATTTCTACCACAAATACCTTTATTTCTGTTCTCTGTTTTTACATACCCTTTTAATTGAGACTGTTTCTATGACCAATGTATAGAACTACCATGTCCTCAGCCCACCTTACCACTGTATCCTAATTCTGTAGACCTTTCAAAATCCTTTGGGGCCTCACTAGAGACTAACTGGGTAAGAGCAGGGGCTTTGTTTTTTTTTTTTTTTTTTATTGATTTATAGCTGATGCCTGGATAGGGCCTAGCCTGTGCTGGGTATTCAATACCTATCAGTAAAATGACAGAAGGAAGGCAGACAGGCATACATGCATGTGTGGTTACACAAAACTGTGCATTACCCATTAGTTTGCTGATTCAAATTCTGTTCATATCAGACTCAGAAATGTTTAAAAAATAAATGAGAAAGAGTGACAGAAAAGAACTTTTGATAAAGACTAGTATTTATAACTATTTTGAGAAGATAGGCAGTTAAGTGCCAGGATTGGTTTCAAAAGTGACAGTAGGGGAGGGCTCTGGAGAATTGTCAAGACATTGGTGACATCACCCATTACTTACAGCTTGGGATTCTCTGTGTACTTGCAGCCTACTACTCTTCTTAAAGATAGCCTGCTTAAATGAGCCAATACACTCTTGTTTCTAAAGTCTTTGACAGATGAAAAACTTACTAAAATGACTAGGTTTTGTGTTAAAGTGACAGATTTTCTTTTCTTCCTTCTTTTCAACCCCATTAAAACTACAATGAAGAAATGTTTTTATGAAGTCTAAACTAATAAGACTGACAGAAAAAAAGATAGTAGCAACATGTCTTAAACTTGGGTAGCAAGTTCAGAACTGATGACGGGGGTTAGTAGGCAGCAGGAAAATGGATCATTAATTGCCAATGGAAACCATCATATTTACAACACATCCAGAGATTGGTTTCAGAAACTGGAAGCTCTGCACTGGGGAAGCTGTTTCGTTAATCCCCTCCTAACCAGTGCCCCTGAGCAGCTGCTGAAAGACTGGAAATGCGTATGTATCTCAGAATTCTGCTATTGTCTAAGACTTGGACATCGTCCCAAACCAGTGGCGTTGGGTGACTGCATACTTACCAAATGGTGCTCACCTGTGCTGCCCATTGCACACAGTTTTTTTTGAGGGGGGGGACAGTGTTAGGGATCAGCCCTAGAATAAGTGTCCTTCCACTGAGATACAGCCCAGCTTGTTCTGTTTTTGATTCCCAGATGTTAGGCAGCCAAGCCTGACTGGTCCTACAATCTATGAGTATTTGCTAGGGAATCTTACCAGACCATTTACTGGTCCCCCCTTAGTCTCCCAATCATCAGACAGATGATTAGAGACAGATCCAGTGAAAGAGAGGGCACCACTCACCAAGAGAAAATATGTCTGTTTCTTTCGGGAGATTAAAAAGTTAAAAGACCTTTTCATTAAACAAGATACTTTCTTTAAAAAAAAAAAAAAAAATTGTATCCAGACATGGTGGCACATGCCTGTCGCCCCGCACTGGGGAACCAGGCAGGAGGATCCTCTACTCCACTCAGCGTGCTCCTGGCCAGCCAAAGCAGTGTTCTGCCTAACAATCATTGCCACTGAATATCAAAACGCTCAGTTGTTGACACTGGTAGCATGTTGGAAACTGTACCCTTTCCAGTTATTTTAACCTTTAAGTGTTAATTTAAAATTCACAAGGAGTCACATGGTTTGTTAGAATATGAGTTGTCTTCAGCAAAAGAAGTTTACAAATACTGGGCGTGATCCCCACACTTGGGAGGCGGAGGCACCTGATCTCTGTGAGTTTCAGGACAGACAGGACTACACAGTGAAACCCTGTCTTGAAAAACCAAAAAAAAAAAAAGTTTTAAAGTATTACACAGTTCTGCTGATTGCAATGGCACATGCAGCTTGTAACCACTTGGGAGCCGGAGGCAGGAAGCTCAGAGTCCAAGCTGGTAATATGTGAGAACTTGCCTCAAAAACTACATGCTGTTTAGTTTAATATTCATTTCTCTGTGTTATATTGCATAATTCAAAAAGGAGACACTAAGATAAGTTTATTTTTTTTAAATTACTTGAATAAATTTGTGTAAGTAATTCAAAGAATGCCAGTTTGTATAAGTAAATATGCCCCCTGTTCTGCCACCAGCCACTAAAGTATATATCATGTCTGGGGTTTTGTTTTTGCCTTTTTGAGGTAGGGTTTTACTATTTAGCCCTCGCCGGCCTAGAGCTCACTATAGGTGGTTCAAATTTCCGAGTTCCTCCTGCCTCTGTTCCACTAGAGCTGGGATTAAAGACGTACGGACAGCAGACCTGCTCTGGATTTGGGTTTTTTAAGGGTTGTATATGAAAATTAGAATAGAATGTACGTACCACTGTACTGGTGGTTGCCCCAGCAAGGAAGAGAGAGTTTGTATAAACTCTGAAAACTTCAGAAGTAAACGTAAAAATCTTCACAGGATTTTTTTAGGGTGAATATGAGTGATTTTAAACTATCTTTTGTTTAATTTCAAACAAAACTTGCTACAAAATAATAGAAAATCATTTGAAACTTGAAACAATGTAAACACAAATAACCTACCGTCCAGAGATAACTGCTTTTGATGGTTTAATGTATATTTTGTGCCCTTCATAACTGTGTATATTATTACTGTACACAGTGGTTTTGTTACTATCTCATAACTATAGAACCAGGATTTACCTTCCTTTTTACTCTTTGCACATCATTACTGATTAATAATAAATTTTGCATTCTGATCCCAGCTCTGCTGCATATTTTTACTCACTGCTAATACACAGTATTTGTGATTTAGCAGTGTATATACGCACTGACAATGTATCAGACATTTTTATATGTGCTTTCTCACTTACTCGTCAATAGCCAGTGTGTAGAAAGAACATATAACTTGCCCCAGGCGCTGGCCTACCCGGTGCAGCCTTTGGGCTTTGCTCTTGCTGTCCGGCTCACTAAGAGCGTGTGCCGAGCCGGAAGGGACGGCCCACACTCCCATTCCCAACCTGGGCCACCGTGAGACCCTGCCTGTCGAAAAGAAAAAGCAACAGCTCCTTGGGCTTCCATGCTGCTAGAGCTGGAGTTAGAGTCTTGCTCTTCCGTTTATTTCATCCGTCATAAACAGCGCCCGCCGTTCATTCCGTCCTGAATTCTTCTCTGCCTAACCGTATTCTCAGTCCTTTGTTAGTCAGGCTGGTCTGATACCATCTGCCTGGGAACCCTTAAAAATGCTGGATTTTAGGCACTACCTCAGATCTTCTGAATTGAATCTACATTTTAACATGATCTACAAATGATTCACAGGTGTATAAGGTTGAAGAAATCTACACCAAAGCATATTTTTCTGATTGTCTTAGTAGTTGCTCCTCAGCGGGTTCATCATCTACCCCTCTGGGATCT